GGTGATTTTGAGAGGACAGAGATGATCTATCCTGATTCCATCATATTAAAACCTGAAGTTTTGTTTTTATTTTCTAATGAAGAACACTTGTAATGCTTTGTCATAAAATGTGATGTTTGGTGTAGTCTCATAGTTACTGGTGTAGTTTTTGAATGTCAGTGTGTTTGTTGGTTGGTGGTGTGTTGGTGGGTGAGGTCTGGAGCCGATGGCCAAGAAAGAATTCTTGAGACATCTTTGGTGCAAAAAGGTGGTTCTATTAAAGCACGGGGACAGGACCATGGGCAGAAAGAGCTGCTGCCCCAGGATTGTGAGTAGCAACTGATTGTATACTTTGGGGTTGGGAAGTAAAGATCAGGGAAGTTTCAGAAGGATTTTCATATGTTAAAAAAGACTCAAAGGATACTGGACGCCCTGCTCTTGTCAAATGGAGGTTTTTGTTCCCTCTAGCAAGGCATTAACATGAAGACTGTTGGGAGCTTCCTGGAGGAACATTATACCCTACCTGCCTCAAGTATTTGTCAATGGGCTGCAGGTTATAAGGATACTTATTTTTTTTTTTTTAAGATTTATTTATTTATTTATTTGACAGAGACACAGCGAGAGACGGAACATAAGCAGGGGGAGTGGGAGAGGGAGAAGCAAGCTTCCCGCCAAGCAGGGAGCCCGATGTGGGGCTCTATCCCAGGACCCTGGGATCATGACCTGAGCCGAAGGCAGACGCAGACGCTTAACCGACTGAGCCTCCCAGGCGCCCCAAGGATACTTAATTTTAACTGTATTTCCTTCTGCCTTTGTTTCCCACATCAGTTATCATTACCAATTAAGGAAATTTATTTCTTGCTTACTGAAACCTATTTGTTTATTGTTTTTAAAATCAGGAATGTGTGCTGAATTTTTGTCATCCAGGAAGATGATTGTGGTTTTTATTTTCTTTAATCTTCTAACATAGTAAATTACATTAGTACATTTTCGAGTATTGAATCAATCTTGCATTCCTTCTTTTTTTTTTTTTTTTTTAAAGATTTATTTATTTATTTGAGAGAGCGAGAGTACATGAGAGGGGGGAGGGTCAGAGGGAGAAGCAGGCTCCTCGCCGAGCAGGGAGCCCGATGCGGGACTCGATCCAGGGACTCCAGGATCATGACCTGAGCCGAAGGCAGTCGCTCAACCAACTGAGCCACCCAGGTGCCCTCTTGCATTCCTTCTTAAGATAAATTCCCTTACGGACTGCTTTTTCTCCTAGTGAGAGCTCACATTTCTTTTTTCTTCATGTATTTCTAGCAATTTTTTTTATTAACTACTGGACATTGTGAATATTATGTTGTTGAATGCCTAAATTTTGCTGCCTTTAAAGAGTTTTAAATATTGTTTTATTTTGCATTTAGGTTACTTGTGGGTCAGCTTGATTCTTTTGAGGTTTATTTCTGAGTTTCATACTACATTTGACCTACTAAACTCAGGAACAAACCTTTATTTGTAAATATACCTTTACTGTTAAAGTGTGACTCTTCTGGGGTCTGTATTGGACGTCTGGGTGTCCACTGAAATTCTACTCAGGCTGCTTGGAACTTGAATATCTCCCAGCCTTGTGATAGCTCTGGAATTCACCTTATAATTCCCACAACATTGAACAACAGAATCAAGAGGACCCCCAGATTTCTGGGGCGGTTTTTCTGTGTAGCTTCCTTCTTTCTGATACTCTGCCCTGCTAATTTCGGCCCCTTAACACTCTGCGGTCCGACTCCTCTCCTCAGCAGGACTGCAGGCTTCGGCCTGACATCCCTTCCCCCCCACTCCCCCCACCCCCATGGCAGCATGCCACAGTTTCAAAGTGCCTCCAGGCAGAAACCTGGGCAGTTGTAGGGTTTGCTTTGTTTCTCTCCTCTCCATGATCTCAGTTCAGTGCTCATTGCTCAATGACTGAAAACATTTATTTTACATATTTTGTCCTGTTTTCTACTTGTGCCCGGAGGGCATGCCTGGTATCAGTTACTCCATCATGGCAGATGGTACATTCTTTCAGTAGACTGCTGAATTTTTTTTGGTAATGTTTTATTTCACATTCATTACGTCATGTTTATAGTGAGGTTGGTGTATGGCCATGGCTCTCATCTGTGAGTGATACTACTAGCCTGGCCCTATTCCTCTTCCTGGGTGGGGGGTCAGAACGCAAGGGGGGATTTCTGTGTGCACCAGTGACTAGGAGCCACGGTTGAGAGCACAGGAATTGCAATGCAGTGGGCTGGAGTTTTCCTCACCTCTTCCTCTGGGCTTGCTTTCTTCACTTTTGGGAACGGGCTTCCACTATTCTCCTAAAACGAGTTAAGAAGCTTTCTGATGTAGGCAAGAGCGTTAAGGTTCGAAGCCGAAGGCCAAGAAAGAATTCTTGAGACGTCTTTGGTATGAAAAGGTGGTTTTATTAAAGCACGGGGACAGGACCCCAGGGTAGAAAGAGCTGCAGTGGGGTCATGAGGAGTGGCCCATTATATACTTTCAAGTTGGGAGGGGGTCAGGGAGAGCGTAGGTCTCTAAGGAATTTTTTTTTTTTTTAAGATTTTATTTATTTATTTGAGAGAGAGAATGAAAGAGAGAGAGCACAAGAGGGAAGAGGGTCAGAGGGAGAAGCAGACCCCCCGCTGAGCAGGGAGCGCGATGTGGGACTCGATCCTGGGACTCCAGGATCATGACCTGAGCCAAAGGCAGTCGCTTAACCAACTGAGCCACCCAGGCGCCTGGTCTCTAAGGAATTTTGGAAGCAAAGTTTCCAGGACCTTGAGGGGGCTAGCTATTGTTGGGAAAAGGTCATTTATTACCATCTAATAAAACCTTAGTCCTGAGACCCATCAGATGTATATCAGTGGGTCATATGCTTGGGGGGTGATTGCCAACATGTATCTTGGGGGTTTAGAGATAAAGGAAGTTTCCAAAAGAATTTTTATATGTTAAAGTGGACTTACAGGATCCCGGAGGAGGGGGAGCCTCAGGCTAGGATTGCCTTTTGCCCTTAGCAAAGTATTAACATCCAGGCGGTTGAGTCCCTAGAGGAAGGTCACTCTGCCTGTTTCAAGGACTTGTTGGTGGGCTATAGGTAGTAAGGAAATTTAATAATTTTTCTTCTGCCTTTGTTTCCCACATCACTTTCCATCCTTTCCTGTACCCTGGAATAATTTAATTATTAGGAACTAACTCTTCTTGAAGTTTGGTAGAACTCCTACTTAAAACCAAATATGCCTGGTCTCTTTCAAGTAGACCTTTGTCTCTAGTTATTTTGTATAGTCAGAATTTTCTGTGTCAATTCGGGTAATTTATATTTTCCTAGAAAAACTGCTTATTTCTTTTACATTTTCAAATCCTTTTAAGATAAAGTTTCAATAGCATGCAAATAATGATCTTTAAAAAGTCTTCAGGCATATCTCCTTTTTCATTTCTGTTACTGTTTTTGTTTTGTTTCTTGAATGGATTTGGCACAACTTTAATTCTTTTAATTTTAATTCTTTCATTTAAAAAAATGTTTACTTTGCCCCTTTTGCTAACTTCTTGATTTAGTTGCCTTTTTAATGTATGTTTTGTTTTGGTTTTGGTTTATGGCGATGGCTTACCCTTGCTCTTAAACTTACTATGGCTTGCACTTAGTTTCTCTAGGGGCTTTTTTGGGGAAGAATAACTCAAAATTACTGCAGTCTTCTCTTGTACCCATTTTTGTTTTTATTTCTAGGTAAGCTCTACACCCAACGTGGGGCTTGAACTCTCACCCCCAAGATCAAGAGTCACATGCTCTACCAACTGAGCCAGCCAGGCGCCCCACTTGTACCTCTTTCCATTGCATGTTTCAGCCTCCTAGTTTTGGTGTTTATCTGATCAAGTGATACATGAGTACAGAGTTTAACATTCAAAGAAAGTCTACCTTAATCACCAATTCCAATTCAAGACCTCTCCACACAGATCAGTCCCTGCTGTCGGTTCAACGTGTACCTTTTAACAAAACCTTAACCCTTTTCTGTGCTATTTATAATCTGTATCATTCTTAAAACAAAAAACAGTATAATGTGTGTTTGTAGGTACACAGTACATACATAAATGGTATTATACTGTGTTTATTTTTCTTAACCTTCCCTTCTCATTCAGTATGTCTTGGAGAGATCTTTCCACATCAGTACATGTAGATCTACAATATAGAAATTTTAAATAACTGCCTAGTATTCTGTAGTATGTGTATACCATAGTTTAGTCAACCATCTACCTATTAATGAAATTTCGGTATTTCCAGGAATCTCTTCTTCCTGCTCTATAAGCAGTGCTGCTGTAAGACATTCTTACACATTCTGTCTTGTGTGCATCTGTGACTATGACTTCATAAGAAATGGAATTAAATGGGCCATAGAAATGTATGCTTTTATGGATTTTGCCAGTACGCCCTTTAGAACATGTATTCCAATATACATTCCTTTTTCTGTATCCTTGGTCTACTTTTATTACTATTTTTGCAAAACTGATACATGAACCAAAGTAACTTGTTTTCTATCTGGTTTCTAGCTTCATAAAATTCTTAAAAGTTCCTGATCCGTTGTTAGCGTCTTTCTGTGCTATAATGAATATTCTTCTTTTTGTATCTTTTTTTCTGTATATGTTTTTACTATCACTTGAATATAATTTTAGCAGAAAGGGAAAGTGAGCACATGTCTTTAGCCCTCTGTCCTGAGCTGTCATGGATGCTGGATTATTGGCCATGACTACTACTAACTTGCTCTTGCATGCCAGCCCCTGCATTCCCACAATTCAGATTTGTGTTTCATCGTAAATCTGTGTGTCATGGTCTTTTGGGGCAACTTGTAAAAGCTTGAAATGGCAAGTATAAACTCAGTGAATGCTGAGGTTCTATTATACTTTGTGCAGAATGGTAATTAAACAATGTAACCTTTTCTGAGAATCATTATTAAATCAGGGAATCTGTTAACATTAAAACATGTAATAGTAATGATTTTTGAAATTTTTATTTTTAGGTGTTAGAATATTTAAATGATCTGAAACAGTATTGGAAAAGAGGGTATGGATATACTATTAATAGTCGATCCAGCTGCACCCTGTTTCAGGATATCTTCCAGCACTTGGACAAAGCAATTGAACAGAAACAAAGGTAAAACTTAAAAAAATTTTTCTGATGTGTATTCTCTTGAGTGCCCAGTTAAGCTTCTGGAAAATGTTCTGTGATGGGTGAATTTTTAAAAATAGGTTTTGCTTGTGTTTTAAAAAAAATATTTTGGGCACCTGGGTGGCTCAGTCGTTAAGCGTCTGCCTTCGGCTTGGGTCATGATCCCAGGGTCCTGGGATCGAGTCCCACATCGGGCTCCCTGCTCGGCGGGAGGCCTGCTTCTCCCTCTCCCACTCCCCCTGCTTGTGTTCCTGCTCTCGCTCTCTCTCTGTCAAATAAATAAATAAAATCTTTAAAAAAAAAATTTTTTAATATAATATTTAGGCTTACGAAAAAATTAGATGACATAATGTGAGTTATAAGACGTTTAAACCCTTCGTTCAACCCAAGAACTCAAGCATTACTAATGATTGGCATGTGCAGTGGTTGGTTCGCTTTTCCTGCTGCCTCTTGCCCTCTCTACTCTTTATCCCCTGTGACTGCTACTCTCAAGTTGGTGGATGTCATTGCTTTGCCTCATTAAAAATAGTCTTTATTATAAATGTATGTGTTTAGTTTGCTTAGTTTTGCTCAGAGTCATGCTCATTGTCTTCTGGGACTTGCTTTTTTTTTTCCTTCAGCATTACATTTATAATTTTCATCATGATGTTGCATATACTATAAAATCAAAAAATAAACATTTTTACTATAGTATAATATTCAGTAATGTATGATATTCAGTAAAGAAGTACCACAGTTTATAGCATCTTTTCTTGTCAGTGGACATTTGGGTAGTTTCTATTTTTGCTATTATAAATAGTGTAATTGTACATGGCTTCTGGTAGGAATTGCAAAATGTTTTTATTTTGAATGAGAGTTTCTCATGGAAAAGTCTTTGTTAACATTCATACTCTACAACTTTTCAAGGTTTAAAAAAAAACTTTTCGTAATTTAAACCTGTGATAGAACCTAACTAACCCCATTTTATTTGACAAGTAGCTTCTGTGAAAACTTACACATTCATAATTAGAGGCAAAAATGCTATAAAGATAAAGACAGAAAGACTGAAGATTGTGTATTTTGTTTGCAGTATTAAGTTTTATACGTACATGGAGAAGAGAGAGAGAGAGTGTGTGTGTGTGTATGACTCTAGTTTATGGAATTTTTTGGGGTTTGATGGGAGTTAGGGACGAAAACTAGATTGAGTATTTAGTTTTTGCTACTGGACACTTTTCTTGGGGCAGAATAGTCAAAGCAGGTTCCGTCTTTGATAAAGGCATTAACTTCTTTCCTACTTAGTTTTATGAGTGGTTTATAACCTGTCAACTACATAAGATAACAGATTTTTGCTGTCTGTTCATTGTTATCCTGTTGTTGAATGTGAGGAATGGCAAACTTAAAATTGTGTCAGAAAGATTCTTAAATAATTTTTGCAGAATTTGCTACTGCAGTTTGATACTAGATTTAATGTTTAAGAAGTTACCATTGGTGTTTCAAAATGAGTATTTTTGTACACTGAAAACTATGAAACATTACAGAGAGAAATTAAAGATGACCCAAATAAATGGAGAGATACACTATCTTTATGGATTGGAAGACAGATTGATGATCTGTAGACTGAATGCAATCCCTATCACAGTCTCAGTAGGTCTCTGTAGAAATTGAGAGGCTTATTCTAAAATTTATACAGAAATGCAAAGAACCTTGAAGAGCTAAAACAATTTTGAAAAAGAACAACAGCACCAAAAACATAATTATCTCACTTCAAAACTTACTATAAAACTGTAGCCATAGACAAATAGATCAATGGAATAGAATCAAGTCAATAATAGCCTCATATATGATCAATTTGTGACAAAGATGCCAAAGGAATGTATTGGAAAAAAGGATAGTCTTCAGCAGATGGTGCTGGAACAATTGGATATCTGTATGTTAAAAAATGATACTTAGACCCTTAACTTCATAGTATACACAGAAATGGGTGATACATTTAAATGTAAAATTGGAAATCTTTCAGAAGAAAATGTGGGATCAACGAACTAAATATAAGATAAAACTGTGAAACTCTTAGAAGAAAACATAAGAGTAAATCTTCACAATCTTGGATTAAGCCAAGATTTCATAATAAAACACTCACTCAAAAGCTCGATCCATCAAAAAATTGGTAAAATGGACTTCATCAAAATTAAAAATTTTTATGCTTCTCAAAACACTCTTTGGAAAATGAGAAGATAAATTGTAGATGTAGAGAAAATATTTGCAAAATATACATATGTGATTAAGGATTTGAATCCAGAATATATAGAGATGTTACATCTCCAGTAAGGAGACAACCCAGTTTTTAAAAAGAGCATGAGATTTTAACAGTTAAGTGGATGACAAATAAGCACATGAAAAGATGCTCATCATCATTAGATATTAAAACCACAGTGAAATACCACCAGTGTACCCCCTAAACTGGCTGTGAAATAATAGAAAAAATATATATTGGTCTCTGCCCCAGGTTCTTGCCATAGGGCTCCTGAAGCCATGTAATTTCCTGGGTGATCAGAGTGTCTTTTGTTGTAATGAGGCAGCTTTGGGTGGGACCCTGGACAGCTCCAGGAGGAGAGCTGTCCTGAAAGACCAAGCCATGAGTAGAAGCGTGAAATTTTTACCCCGAGCCCCATTGTCTTGAGAAGGGAGGGGGGCTGGAAATGGAGCTAATGATCAATCATGCCTATGTGATAAAAGTCCAAAAAAGTTTGAGATTTATGGAGCTTCTGGGTTGATAGATAAACAGGTAGCAGTGCTGAACGAGTGACTTGCCTAAAGAGGGCGTGGAAGCTCTGTGCCCCATCCAGCATATCTGGCCCTTCCCATCTCTCCCATGTGGACATTCGTCGATCCTTCATCATATCCTTTTATAATTAACTGGCACATGTGTTTCCCTGAGTTTTGAGAGCTGCTCTAGCAAGGAGGGAGTTGTGGGAACCTTTGATTTGTAAACAAGCTGAACAGAAGTAGTGGGTAGCCTGGGACCTCCTACTTGCCATTGGTACCTGGAGGGGACGGAGGAGGTGGTCTCATGGGACTGAGCCTTTCGTGGACTCAGATGCTGTCTCCAGGGACACAGTGTCAGAATGGAATTAAATTGCCCGATACCTAGCTGGAACACAGAGGACTGCTTGGTGTGGGGAAAATGCCCCAAGTGTTTGGTGACCAGAAGTGTCAGAAGTGGTAGGAGTGTGGTGTGAGAGTAAAGCAGAAACACAGGAGGAAAACACTGGGTGTTTTCTTTATTCACTGGCTAAAATACAAAAAAAAAAAAAAAATTGTCCCAAATGTTGGCAAGAAGAAACTGGAAACTGTATACTTTGCTGGTGGGAATGTAAAATTAAAACAGCCACTTTGGAAAAGTTTGGTAGCTTCTTAAGTTAAATATATAGGGGCGCCTGGGTGGCTCTGCCATTAAGCGTCTGCCTTCGGCTCAGGTCATGATCCCGGGGTCCTGGGATCGAGCTCCGCATCTGGCTCCTTGCTCAGCAGGGAGTCTGCTTCTCCCTTTCCCACTCCCCCTGCTTGTGTTTCCTCTCTCACTGTGTCTTTCTCTGTCAAATAAATAAATAAAATCTTTAAAAAAAAAAAAGAAGTTAAACATATATCTACCACATGATATAGCAAATTTAGTCCTAAGTACCCTATAGAAATGAAGCTACATGTCTCTTATGTGACTGTTTACAGTTTTTAGATATGAATAATACTACAGTCAATAATTCAAATACCCACCAACTGATAGATGGAGAAACACAATGTGGTGTGTCCATGGGATGGAATACTACTCAGCAATAAAAAAGAATGACTGCTGACAGATGCAACAAAATGAATGACTTCAAAAACATTATGCTCACAGAAAGAAACTGGTTGCATAAAACTATACATTGAATGATTATTTTTATTTGAAATTTCTAGAAAAGGCCAAACTTTACAGATGAAAGTTTGTCAGTGGCTTCCTGGGTCTGGACATGAGAGTGGAGATTGACTGCAGATGGGTACAGGGAAAGTCTTTAGGGCAACAGAAGTGTCCCAAACTGAATTGTGAAGTTTGCACACACAGCTCCTTTATTCACTAAAATTCATCTAACTAGGGGTACTTGGGTGGCTCAGTTGGTTAAATGTCTGCCTTCTGCTCAGGTCATGATCTCCAGGTCCTGGGATCAAGCACCAAATCTGGCTCCCTGCTCAGCGGGGAGCATGCTTCTCCCTCTCCCTCTGCCTCCTCTCCCATGCTCATGCTTGCATGCTCGCTTGCTCGCTCTCTCTCTCTCAAATAAATAAATCTTTAAAAAAAAATTCATCTAACCCAGCAATTAAAACCAGGTGGATTTTATAGTAGTTCCATTATACTTAAATAAAAATTTTAAAACCATACGGGTATTTAGTAAAAGGGAAAAGGGAAAGAATGAAATAATGTTTTGGTAAAAGTGGGAATAATTTTTGAAGAATTTACTAATTCAGAAAAATGGAGTCGTTCCTTAGAATTTTTTACAAGATGACTGCAGAATGCTTATGACATGTAATTACTAAAAATATGTTTTAAAATTATTAGTTCACGTTACGGCCTTAATAAAATATACTGTAAAGTAATTGAATATTAAAAAAAAATTAGGACTCTTGCAGTTCCGTAGAGGTGATCTGGATTACTATAAACGGGACAACCTCATTTTTTTTAATAGAATTTATTTTTTAGAGCACTCTTTGGTTCACAGCAAAATTGAGTGCAAGGTAAAGAGGTTTCCCATATACCCCCTTCCCCCACATGTGCACAGCCTTCCCCACCTACTACCTCACACCAAGAGTCTTTTTAAAAAAGCAGTTCTGAGAAATAGTTCATCATATAGTTCATCATACAGTTCACCCTTCTAAATTTTATGATTCTGTGGTTTTTAGTATCTTTAGAGTGGTGCAACCATCACCACTATTTGTTTATTTTTTAAAGATTTTATTTAGAGAGAGCACACGTAAGT